TGGTTTTCCAGCTGCAGGTTGGAGAGCCCACCTGTGCCCGCCCTTGTGCTGCCTTGGCTGGTGGCTGCCCTGCTCTGTCCTGCTTCTGCAATTCAAGGCTTCCCAGGAAGGCAGCAACTGGCCTCCTTGCGCGCTGCTGACAATGCGCCCTTTGAGCGTGCTCCTCGCCGGCCGCGCACGCTTCCTCGGACTTCCTCCGCCTCTCCTGCGAGCTTTCCCTTTTAATCCTGCGCAACAGCCTCCGCTGCCGTGATTCATGGGGCGACTCTCCCTGAACTGCTATAAATCCCGCTCCAGCGCCTTCCGCTCGGCAGCCCTTTGTCTGGCGCTTTCGTGGCGCTAATGAGCTAATTGTTTAACAATCTCCCCGGATTCATTTGCCTGCCTCTGCCTCTTTGGGAAGCCGGGGCTGCCGGGGACCTTTTGACAAGCCAATCTTTCTCCCCGCTTGACAGCGGGGCGAGGGGAACAGCGCCGGCCTTTGTAGGCGGGCGAAGAAAGGAGGCCCTTTCCATCCGCCGGCCGTGCTGCTTCCGTCTTGACCCCCTTTCTCTGCGGGGAACACAAATGCGGCAGACAAGCGGAACCTCCCCTGTGTTTTCTTGACCCGCTGGCTGTCCATTCACTTCCCATCTGGTTTTGCAGCCTTAAAGAAACAGAGGGGGGGCCCTCTTATTATAAATCTGTCTCCGCAAGTGATCGATGGAGATCTGTCTCTTTAAGGGCAGCCTGGGTGGCTTTCTCTTTAAAGTTCTGCTTTTTCCTGCCGGTCGGCGCGGTATGCGAGCAAGAGGAAACTGGTTCAAAAATGTGAGGCATTAATGTAAAGTGGTTTTTGAAAAAAGGAAGGGGGTGGGAAATGAAGTAGGGCACGACCCGAGCTCAGATCACCCGCTTCAGGCAGCCTGCAGTCTCTCTGTGCGGCTGCACAAAGGCATGCCAGGAGCGTTCTGGGCACCTTGTCCCGAAAGGGATATTGTAGGGTTGGAAAGGTTCGGAAAAGGGCAACCAAAAGGATCCGGGGTGTGGAGAGACTCTCTTGCAAAGAAAGGTTGCAGCATTTGGGACTTTTCAGTTGAGAGAAAGACAGGTAGCAGGTGACCTGATGGAAGTTTGCACATGGCATAGAGAAAGTGAAGAGAGGAGTATTTTCCTCACACTAGAACTTGTGCACCTGTAACTAAGCTGTCAGACGGCAGTGGTGGTTTCTCATGAGTAATCAGTCGGGACTCCGACCTGTCTTTTACAGGTTTTATTCTGGTGCAAAACTATTCACAGTGCAGAGCCACAAGTTCATGTCTGCCTCAGTCACTAGCAGAATCCAGGAGTGGTCGTTTCCGGGTCCTCCCCCAACATAAGAGCTTCGTCACCCCCAGACTTTTCCTTCCTTCTTTGCGTTTTACACCTCTGCGCAGGGTGGGCGATGGAAGGGGCGTGCTTCCCTCCTGGCCGGCTTGATCAGGAGCGGTGCTGAGGCTGCCAGCAGCATCCTCTGGTCCCTTCCCCTCTTCCCCACTGGAGGTGTGGCTTCCCTCATCACCGGAAGAGGAACTGCTTTGCAAGATTTTCGGAGGCTCCCTGTAACCCAGCTGCCCCTCTGCTTCCCTTCCCTGTTCCGATGGCAGTCCCCTGACATAAGCTGAACATTGAAAGATTCCAGATGGATAAGGGCCGTTCTCCTTCACTCAACGCAGAGTTAAACTATGGAACTCCCTCCCACAGGAGGCGTGATGGGCACCTGCTCGGGTGGAGTTTGTGGATGATGTCATGATCTTTGGCTAGTTCAGTGAAGTTTATGATGACGGTGATCTGCCCAGATGGCTTTCAAATTCGTGGAGGAGGAGAGGGCTATTGATGGCTCCTCGCCAGGGTGGCTCTGCCTCCACGGTCAGAGGGAGCGGTGCCAGTTTCTGGAATCCACAGCAGGGGAGATCCGCTCTTGGCCATGAATCCTGCTTGCTGGGCACCTGGTTGGCCAATATGAGAACAGGATGCTGGGCTTGGGGGGTCCCCTTTGGCCTCATCCTGCAGCCTCTTTGTATGATACGTTCTTGCGTGATGCCATCGTGGATGGCACTGTCTGGCAGCCCTCTGCTCAGTCCCTTGCCCACTTCCCCAGCTGGGGGGATCTGAAACGGACAAAGCAAAGGGCAGCACTGCAGAAGTTGGGGGTTGAAGTAGCTCAAAGAACGGGGGGGGGTGCTGGGAGGTGGGTTTTTCTTTATTTTTCCAGCCCTCGCTCTATCCTGTTCCATCCTGTGCCCACAGTTAGCCTTGCCGCCCCCTCCCTCCCCGCTCTGTTTTCTGTGTTCACGGTGTGTATTCAGATCGTAATTACAGATCAATTAGTCTGTTTTTGAGCCCCTTTGGAGCTGGTATCAGAGGATTAATGCAAAGAAAATGAGAGGGGCTGTGGGTGTTGTTTCATGTGCAGATAAAGAGCCCCGCAAGGATGAATGGCTCTCTTGAGGCCTCTGAATAGAGGATTTCTTCATTCTGTGTCAACCAGGGGTTTATGGGAGATTGGGAGAGGGGATTATGGGAATATTCATGACCCGGATCAGGGACCCCGGGATGAATGGGTGGAGGGAAACGGCTCATCTTTTGAGCAAACACGAAGTAAATGGGGAGGAGAATGGCCATTCACTGGGGCCTGCGTCATTGTTGCAAAGCTGCAGGCGGGGTGGCCGGCCCGGGGGCCACTGTTTAACAGGTGTCACGAGAACCAGGCTCTCCATATCTCTCGCTCGCTGCCAAAAGCTCTCAAAGGGGACGTTGTTTGTGCAGGAGCCATCGGAGCAGCTCTGGGGCGCAAAGGTCGGGAGGAAGCAAGGCAGCGAGAGATGCTGAGCCCTGAGAGTTCAGGGAGGAAACAGGAGAAGGTTTGGGGTGGGAAAGTTCATGGAATCACAGAACTGTAGAGTTGGAAGGGACCCCCAGGGTCATCCAGCCCAGCCCCTGCAGTTGAAGCCACGGGTTCAGGTCCTCCTCTCTGGAGCAGCAGAAACCAAACTTCCACTACATGGAAGGACCCGAACCTGTGGCTTCAAGTTGCAAGAAAGGAGATTCTGCCTAACATCAGGACTTTCTGGCCATCAGAGCTCTTCGGCAGAGGAATGGTCTCCCTCTGGAGGTGGTGGCCTCTCCTTCCTTGGAGGTTTTCAAGCAGAGGTTGGGTGGCCATCTGTCAGGGATGCTCTAGCTGAGATCCCTGCCTTGCAGGGGGTTGGACTAGATGAGCCTTCGAAGTCCCTTCCAGCTCTACAGTTCTGTGGCTCTTCCATGATAATAATAATAAATTTTTATTTATACCCCGCCCTTCCCAGTTCAGAAAACCGGGCTCAAGGCGGCTAACGACAAGCTTAAAACACTTAATTGATGCAACAAAAAACAGCATAAAATACAGTATAAAACATGAATAACAATAAATTCAGAATTCAAAAATCAATTTAGGGGGGAAATCCACCCAATAAACATGAGATGATCACCAGGGCTAGCTGGCTAAGTTAGTCCAGCCGTTCAGCAACAGAGGACGGCATAATGTTCTAGAAAGTAGGCAAAGCCTCAGAGGGAGAAGGTTTTCTGGAGACCAGGTGGCAGGCTGGACTCTGCAGGTGCAGACGCCAGCTGGGCACGTCCTCTTAGAGTCTGCTCTGGCTTCTTTCTGCCTTCTGGGCCTCATTTTGACTTTTGCCCCATAAAGTGGCCCCGCAGACTTCTTCCTCCTCTGGCACCTCTGAAAGAGCGAGCTCTTCTCTTCCTGGGACCCTCCTTGCGCCACCCTCCCATGAAGAGAGCTGCTCTCTCACCTGCCACGTAACTCAGGGATGGCTTTTCTTTTCTGGAGACACCCCCAATTCCAAGCCGGTGGTGCAGGCTGGGCACCTCGGGGCTGGTCTGCTTGGGCAGAGATTGGGCTGCCCTTTTGCCCCTTCTGCCCTTCCTCAAGCTTTGGGCGGCTCCTTGCTTTGAGTTTTCTGCCTCTTGAGCCGTGGGCCAGTGGCAGGAAGGGTGGTTTTGGGTCAGCTTGGCCACCAGTTGTGCCTGTTGCTGACAGGTAAATAGATAAACCTATAGACAGGTAAGTGGCTGTAGCTGCTGCTCCTGCAACTGCTGGGCAGACTGCCAGAAAAACTCTGACCTTTTAAGGAATAAAATGTTTGGGGGTGGGTGAGCGAAACATGCCGAAGTCTGGATTATAACTTTTGCAAAAGCATCTTTAAATTCAGGGCACTTCCCTTAGCCTGTTTTGCTTGTATTGGTTTGGTTAGTTTGAACGCTGCCCCCTCTTTTGAAAGGCTGGACCTCTGAATTGTGATTTTTTTATTTTGTCTTCCGGAATATTTTATGAGATGGCCAAGGGGTAACCTTCCAAATGCTGTTTAATCCTTCTTTGCTGAAGCAGAGTGAGCTGCGTGAGATCTAGGAAGCAGCCTGATTTGGAGGAACCACACTGTGGCCTCCTAAATCAGCCCCTGAAAAGAACAAACCATTCAGAAGCTTCTGCACCTGCAGTTATTCAATCTTTTACATTTATATGTCCCTCCACCCGTTCCTCTGAAGAGCTCGTGGTAATGTGAGCGGCTGCACTCAGAGCTTTCACAACTTCTAAACCTGAAGGTCATATTTTAATTTTTGGGAAGTTTTGCCAAGGCTGGCCAACCAATTAATTCTGAGGCACACCTTTATACTAGATTAGTCTACAATAAAAGGTGAACATTTAATTAATGTAGTTTAACTGTGACATGTTAATACAGTATTATTAATACAGTAATGCAGGCCTTAGTCTGACTCCTGGCACCCTCTCCGCTTCGGAGGAGGCTCCCGGCTGCGGACGAGGCAGGTCTTGTTGAGGCCTCCAAGGCACCTGTGGGGCAGGGAAGGGGTGGGGGCCCAGCCCCGCAGCCTTCCTCTGGGAGGCCAGGCCTGTTTCCACTTGGGAGAGGAGGCATCTGTGCCTGGAGACATCCGTCCTGACAGCAGCATCTTAACTTTTCCAGAAAAGGTTCGGGAGATCCAGGAGAAACTTGAAGTCTTCATTGAAGCCCTCCATCAAGAAGAGAAGTAGCTGGTCCGCACAGGTAAGGAGCTCTGGGTGGTCACTGAGCAACTGCAGTGCTCTGACGCTGCCCAAAATAGGCCCGTCTTGCTCTTGTTAACACAGCCAGAAAGCAGGAAGCCCCCTTCGTCTTGCCAAGGGACTGTGTGTACTTCCATCTTTGCCTGGAAGGGCCCTAAAAGGTTGTTCCGTTAATCCTCCTGCTGCTTCCTCCAAGTCTTACAGAATTTTAAGATGCTCCCCAAGGGTCATCTCTGACAGACGGCCACCCAACTCTGCTTAAAACCCTGGCGAAGGAGCCTGTTCCATTGCTGAACAGTCCTTACCGTCCAAATCTTCTTCCTATGTTAGTCGGAATCGCCTCTTGACCCCTCAGCCACCGTAACAAGCTTCCTAGCTGATTGGAGATTTGAATCTGGGCCTCCCGGTTCCAGCATGGCACACTGGGGGGGCAGGCATTGTGCCCTGTGATGCCCCATGCTCTGGGCCAATCTGAACGAATGAATCTTCATTTGCGTCAGCCATAGCAATAAAACAACAGTACAATATCCAAAGAATAGAAATAAAAAGTCAATTATATAAAATACATTTTGGGGTTTTGAATCAGTGGTTAAATAGTGGACCTTATTCTGATTGCCCCAGCTAAAAACCTTGCAGCCTTTGCTGTCACCTGCGCCTCTTGATCTGCCAAGAGAAAGAACACTAGGGCAGTGGCTGGGCGACCCAGAATGGACAATAAAAGAGGGGGGATAATCTCATTCCTCAAGTCTTTATAAAGGGTGGAAGCCAGAAGGGCATGCGCCACCGATTTGGTGCTGCCATCTCCAAGGGCCATAAGCGTTTTCATGTGGAATCTGTTGGAATCGTCCCTCAAGTCCAGCCGAGGGCAAGACATTCAACCTGGGCTAATCTCTCCCTCTTGCTCTTTTACCCTTCTGGGTTTCGCTTGAGGAATGGCACCAGGGACCTGTCTCTTGATTGAGATACCTGGCAGGAGAACGGCAACCTGGGGTGGCAAAAATGACTTGGGAGGGGGGAACGGGGGGAGGGGTCCTCTGTCCAGTCTCTCTCTGCAAATCCAGTCCATTTGTGTTTGTGTTTCAGCAGAGCTTCTACAGGAAGACAAAGCCCCTCTTCTGGAACACACAAAGCACTAGAAATGGCCCCACGGCGCCTCCTGGTCCTCCTCTCCTCCCTGTTGCACTTTTTAGGGGTGTCCCCGAACGTCTCCCAGGGAAAGGAGACAATTGGCAGGAGGCAACGAGAGGTCCTGGCTGCCACCTGCCCTTTGGGTGACGGTGGCAGTAATAATGACGAGGGAAGCAAACCTGGCAACGGAAACCGATGCTTTCTTACCTGGAAATGATGCCTTGAGGGTGGGGTCCAGATTCTGCAAGTGCTCCCTCTCTCTCTTTTTCCAGGGAGGGGCCAGAAGCAGGGGGTTTTTCTTTCTGGGGTGGCAAGACCCCTTCCGCCGCCTCTAGTGGTTTTAGCCGGTCGGGGGCTCCTTTGCGTGGCGAACCCGAGGGGCTTGAAATAAAATTTTAGCCTTTGTACATACGTCGACAACACCTCCTACGTAACGTTTGTTTGTTTGTGTGACGCAGCGCATTGAGGGGCCCTCCAGGCGAGAGCAGCTGCCTTTCAATGCTCTTCTGGGGAGCCAGATCTCGACTGAGGCACTGGAGAGAAGCTGGGCAGGGGGGAGTGAGCCTGGCGGGGGCTCCCAGGCCGTGCCCAAACAGGCACCCGGGGGCCCATTCATGGGCATCTGGCTCCAAGAACAGCACCCTCCACTGTCCATTTCACTGCAGTTTGGTCCTGGGGTGGGACTTTGGCCAGCTCCATTTCTCTTTTTATTTTTATGCTTGCTGAGAGGGACTCCTTCCTGAGTATCCCACCGGCAGTGGCAGGTTCCAGATAAATCGTTGTGCATCAGCCGCTTTTGAGACATGTGGAATAAGCGCCTTAGAGAGGGGGAAGAAGCGTGGCAGGGGCAGGCTCTGGAGGGAAAGCTCCTTTTGGGGACTCGCCCAGTTTGGTTTTTTAAAGATGCAGAGTGTCTTTTGGGCGGGAGAGGGGACCCTGCCGTGTGCTGGTCACGGCCCTCCACACAGAGACCCTTTAAACCCAGCCGTCTCCTCTCTGCATCGTGGAAGAAACAGCCTCCTCTGTGCAGACACTCGTCACCCCCGTTGAGCAGCTCCAAGCATCCGTTGTGGGTTGACTCTGTCGTTTTGCGCCAGCCCTAAATGCAGAAATGTACGTTACCAGTAACATTTCCTCTCCCGCTTTTCGAGGTATCTTTCCAAATGTCCTCTTGCCCACTCTCCCCCTCCCTATCCCCACATCTGCACTGTCTGCCTTTCCACCTCTGTGCAAGTGACTTGCTGGCAGGCTGCTTCCTTCGATGGGCTACGCAGCGCTGCCTTGTAAGTTCTCTCCCTCGTCCTCCGGGGATCCTGTCTTGCTGCACTTTGCAGGTGGGGTTTTGTTTTGTTTTTTGGCAAAGGGGATACTGCCTTTGCTGCCCCCCTCTTCCTCCGCATGGTGTTTTGTGAAATCTGGAAACAAGATGGGCAGGGAGAGGCAGCTGTTGCCAAGAACCAAAATGAGGGAGATGGGAGAGAGCAATCCTCATTCCTCTGCTATTAAAAAATAAAGTGAGATGGCATTTTGTGTGTTTGTGTGTGTAGCAAATGCTTTCGGCCACACGCCAGAGATTCTGCGCCCTCAATGATGCAAAAGCCTCTTCGCTGCTCTGGCCTTCCTAGAGGCAACTTCAGGATCCCAGAAGGGGATCCTTCCCAAAAAGGGGTGCTGCACCAAGACCCGTCTCTTACCGCCCCCCCCTGCCCCCCCCAATCCTCTTCTCGTACTTTATTCTGTCTGGTCCACTTTTCAGTTTTAAGCCTCTGTTGCCGACCTGACGTTTAGCATGATGTATCCCGTGGAAGTTATTTATTGAATGCAGATGTCATTGAAGGAAAACAAAATAAAGAGAGGTTTTGAGCACTTAAATTTCTTACTCTCTTCTTTATTTGCATGCCGCCCAGCTGCCCCAAGGGCTCAGGCGATGGGGCAGGACCCCCAGCTCAGCAGCAGAGCACCTGCTGTGCCCCAGGCGGTCCAGTTCCCCCGTGGCTCCTCCGGGCAGGGCTGGGAAAAGGCTTTCTGCCTGGAACCCCCAAGAGCCCTTTCTGCCAGTCAGCCCTGGCCAGGCAACGTGGTGCCCTTCAGATATTGGTGGACTAGAGCGCCCATCTTCCCACGCTGTGGGCCATGCTGCCTGGACCCGACAGTGAAGCTTCATCTTGGAAGAGCCCCCCTAATTCAAGAGGGAGGTGTGCTAGAAGAGTGAAGGCTCTGTGGTCACAGGACCCCTCTCAGCAGTGGGCAGGGGGGCTTCTCTCTCTCTCTCTCTCTCTCTCTCTCTCTCTCTCTCTCTCTCTCCAGAACAGCATTTGGCCTTTTCTTAAAACACTCATCTTTCAGCCCCTCAATTAGCCAAGATGGATTGCATTTGGTAAAACGGCGAAGTGCTGGATATTTCATACTGATCACCGAGTGCAAAGAAAATGGATTCCACCCCCCACCCCCTTTTAATTATCCCAAGCCAACATATCAAGAAAAGGGCAGCCGACTACATTTTACTTGAAACTGTATTAAAACAAAATTACCCTAATTATCTTAAGATTTGCTTGAACACAGAAATTATAGTGCATTACTCGGGAGTTTGTCCATCAATCCATCCCATGAACTTGCAGAACCAGTTTGATGGGCACTTTTAACGGAAGAGTGGGGGGGTGGGGCCTGTTCATTCCAGGCGGATCTGAATCCCGGTGGCTCCTGGGCTCAAATCCTGCTCGCTGGTTGGCCAGTCTGAGAACAGGATCCTGAACTGGGCAGGGCGCAGGCCTGATCCGGCAGGCTCTTCTTATGGGCAAATGCATCCCACTGAGAGAAACACAATCCAGTTTACGATGTCTTATTTTTCAAATAAGTCCTTGTGACAACTGGCCAGCATTTTAGTGCAAAGTTTATCCTGGCGCATCTATTTTTCTATATGTTGCTTGCAAAACTCGGAGGAGGGCGGCTTCCAAAGGATGGCCATGTTACCACTTTGGAAAGTCCAAAGGGAACCAACTTCGCCTTTCCTGCTGCCCCTCCACCCACGAAAATGCCCCCCGAAATGTTCACACCTCCTTCCTGACTTCTCAGGTGCAACAGCGTTTCTCACAAACCAATGGAGAATGGTAAAAGAAGACGAAAACGCACACTGAGGGAGACATTTTTGGCACAGCGCTAGGAGAGCGGCATCATTTGCCCAGAGAGAGAGAGGCTTGGAAGAGCCTTTGATGCGCAGATATGACACCTTTATTGCCAGCCTCTCCCCACAATGCCTCTTTTCTGTTTTCGTGTGAAAACCAACATCCTCCGTCCTGCTCCAAGCCCATTAGCATTTGCAAAGGCCCTGCTCCATCGCTGGGGGGACGACACGGTGCCCACCCCCCCTCCTGCAATGCACTCGCCTTGTCTATTATGTGGGGGACACAAAGGAGCCCAGAGGCGGGCAGAGGGCTGTCCGATCTTGTCATGTCGCAGCTGCCCCCCCCTCCCCTGAATGGGCTCTGAGGTAGGTAAATTAATTCCAGGGCGGGCGGTGGGCGTCGGATTCCTTTGTGACCCTGCTCCTGTACCATTTGTTTTGGGGCTTGTCGGAGGCTGAGGGACATCTCGGGCCCTTTTGTTTCCCATAATTTCCTGGCAGGTTGGGGAGTTAATGCAAGCCATGTCTGCACCCAGCCAAGCAGAAAACAGCCTGGGTAGAAGGCGGGCGCGCTTGGCGCTGCTGGGGAGAGCGGCTGCATGGAAGTGTCAGGTTAAAGGGTTGGGGGACAGGCAGGAGCCCCCAGAGCGCCCTGCTCAGGTTTCAGCAAAGCACAAGGGCTTGCACACCTGTTCCGCAGCTGCCTGCCATCCTCCCTCTGTGATGAATGATGGCCTGTTTACAGGCCGGGGCTGCAGGCGTCTCCTGCTCCCCCCGCTGAACTCCAGCCCTCTGGAAGGAGACTCACATCTGGGGAACAACCTGTCCCCTTGCAGGAGATCCTTTGGAATGATGTGCGTGAGAAGAGAGCGCAAGATGGGTTGGGGAGACGGCGGGATGTCCGAGGGCTGTCTGGTCCAAGCAACCGCAGTGCAGGAATCTCATCAAAACGGCCATCCACCCTCTGCTTGAAAACAGAGCTCAAATATCTAAATGGCTGCCGGACTGAAGGTGGAGCAAGCTTGCTTTCTGCTTCTCTGGAGGGAAGGACCCCAACCACGGGGTTCAAATGGCAAGAGAGAAAAAAATATATTCCAACTAAACATCAGGAAGAGCTGTTCCAAATTGGTACTCTCCTTCCTTGGAGATGGTTAAGCAGAGGTTGAATGGCCTCCTGTGAGGGATTCTTTAGCTGAGATTCCTGCAGAGGGTTCGACTGGATGACCCCTGGGGTCCCTTCTGTGAAACCTCCCACGGTAGGAGAGGCCATTAGGGAGTCCATTCGACTCTTGAACTTTTCTCACTGTTCTTCCAAATGCTGAGTTGGAATCTCGTTTACGGTCCTTCGAATCAAGCCTGCTCCATCTTCCGTGGGGCACAACTCTGCAGATATCTGAAGGTGGCTCTCTTATCACCTCTCGGTCTTCTCCTCTCCAGGCTAAACACACCCAACTCCCTCAACCCTTCTTCGTAAGGCTTGGTTTCCAGATCTCAGCCACTGTTCTCTGCACAGAGCAAGGTACAGCCCCCCTCCATCAGTTGAGTTTGGGGGTAATTACAGAGTTGATCATGGTTGATTCAACTGCCAAATCATAACCCAACTCTCTGTCCTCTAGATCTTGCTGACCTGTCATTAACAGCTCCAAGTCCAGTACCTATAATCCAGCCTTTACCAACCTGGTGCCCTCCAGCTGTTTTGGACTAGTCACTGGGCCTGATGGGAATTGCAGCCTGAAACATCTGGAGGGCATCAGGTTGGCAAAGGCCACTGAGTTACAGGCTTGCAGTTTGCTGGTGGAAAAGGGAGCCATTGGGCATGAGTAGCCTAATTACCTAAAGCAGGGGTCACCCTCTAGATGCTGCTACTGAACCCCCAGCTCCTATCATCATCCCTGACAACTGAGCCATGGTCACCGGAATCCACACAACGTCTGCAGGGCACCAGGTTGGCTGTCCCAGGGCTGAATATCCCTGAGAGCTGGTGCAGAAATCCAGTCTGCCCTCATTCTGCTGTCCACACCGCTTCTTAGCAGCTGCAGCAATGGTGGTTTAGGTGAGTGTGAGCAACTACTTTGCTTATATTGTTCAGCCAAGTGGCCACTCTGCATCTGGGGGGCTGAACTTCTGCTCTTCTACCCTCCCTTGGCAGGTGGTCCCGATCCTCCTCCCCGTTGCATTCCAGGGAAGTCGAGGCCCACCCAGGTCAGTGGGCCTCCCCGCCCCCTCCTCTTTATTTCTACTGGGTGGGCCCTCTGCAACTTCCCTCCCACGCTGCTGCCGGAAGAGTCCCAGTTGCTGTGGTTTGTCATGCAGGAATCTCGGCAAAATCATCCCCGGCAGATGGCCATCGCACCTCTGCTTAGAAACCTCTAGCAGACGAGTGAGATGCTCCCTGAGAGTTGGGCTTATCTCCTGCAACCTTTTCCTTCGTGGAGAGATTCCCTTGTTTGCCCTTGTGGCTCTCGGGGGAGGGGGGGTTGCCTGCTGTCTGCCAGGGAGCAGGAGCTGTGGGGGTGAGCCACAGGGGCTGTCCTGTGTCTGGGGGGCAGAGCCCACTTAGGAATGCATGGAGAGCCCAGCTGGATCCAGCCTAAAGGAGCCCATCTCATTGAAATAAAGAAATTGAGGTCTTATGTATATAATAAAGGTTCATAAATGTACCAAGCAAACACGTACATAAATATATCAACCACATGTCTCAAGCTGCACAGGAGAGCAGCCATGAAGCCCTTTTGACTCCCAAACTGACCAGGTGTTTTCTCTGCAAAGTCAAATGGAAAAACCTCCCCACTGTCTTTTCCTTCACAAATCCTGTCTTAAGGGTGAGCCTGTGATCTGGCTCAGGAAATAAGTATTTATCATTACAAAAGACTGGCGAGGCTCCCCAAGGTATCAATCAAGTACGCATTAACAGGTGACTTGCTAGACAGGAGATAAACAACACACTCAGATTATGAGGTAAAAAATGCACTCAGATTTCTGTTGTAGACCACCCCTTACTGTGATGTAGGTATGATGTATGGGGGTGGTGGTCTTGGACTCCAAGGTATGCAATTTAAAATGTCTATATAAGGCCTTGCTTGCCATTGTTCTGTGTTCCTCTCCTCCCTCCCTGCGTGGGGTGAGCAGAGGACCCTGTTGCAACCGTTCAATAAAGACCAGGCTTACGAGCTGCTTTGCTTCTCAGTATTCTCTGCTTGGCCTCTTTTTCCTCCAACCGATGGAGAACCTGCAAAGGACGCTATAAGGGCTCTTGTGTCCCCATAAGGGAATAAGGGCAGATTTTTGTTTATTACATCAGCCGGCAGCCTGGTCTCACAGCAGCCGGCCACAAGCCCCAGCGAGGAACCTGCCAGCAGAATCCAAGCGCCAGAGCAACACTCTCCCTCCTGTGGTTTCCAGCTACTGGTATTCGGAAGCATTGGTGTCCCCCAGCTGTGGAGACAGAGCAGAACAGTTATACCATATAGTTATGAGGGGGGGGCAGGGCTAGCCAGATTTTCTGCCCTGGGTGAAGCCTCCAAAGGGGCCCCATGGAGGCTCCCCACGTGTGTGTGTGTGGATGCAAATGTGCCAAGATGGGTCTTTGACCAGGGTGAAGAGAAGTCTTCTTTTGCCCCTGTAGCCATTGATGGCTCTCTCCTCCTCCCCACACTTGTGGGGCCATGGGATGCTGCTGGTGCCCCAAGAGGCTTTGCTCCATGAAAAGATCCTGAGGCCGTTGAGCCTCTGGAAGAGATTACGGGAATAT